TTTTCACAGATATTCATTGTATGAGTTATATGTTATAATATGTAGGCTTTGATGGATCTAAAAGAATATGAGATTGTAGAAAAGATGAAAACTATTTAAATGGCATGAAATTTAATGTGGGTATAGTTCAGATGGATTGATACCGAGTATGTTTACTGCACAAGGAAAAACGTTTGAGGCTGTATTGAGAAAGTAAATCGCTGTGGACTGTTTTTTCCTCACAGAAAATGAGATTAATTGCCAATCCATCCATGTTCTGAGTCATCTAACCGGTTGGCTAAAGTCGAGACCAGCAGAGGGGCTGTTTCTGAATCAGGGTAACGTTGCATTAAGCGGTAGACTCTCGCACACATCACTTATGAACCTCTCGCTGTTTTTAATATTCGTGAACACGCCATAGCTGTGCAGGAAGAAAACTAGCAGACAACAAAAAAAAAAGATTCCTCACGTGAAGGGCTGACACACAAAGCCCTTTGGTCCAAACTATGTATTAGAGGACATTGTAGCATGATAGAAAAACTTCATTATTGTCATGACCGATTTTCATTACATGTACATACAAGTTTAAGGGGGTCAGGTCAGGGTGGAATGAAATGTGAAATTGTACCTGTATGTTAAGGTAATGTGGTATGATAGAGATCCAGAGATCTGCAAATAAAACGTCTGGAAAGGTGTCGAGTTTTGCTTTCAGCTGCTGTTTGACGGTGAGTGAGCAGGTGGAAAATCTGTGTTTCAACAGGATTATAATGGAAAACACCAGCAGCTGACCTGGTTTATTATTGTTTTATATTTTTCATTTGTTTTTATTTTTATTTTTGGTTTTCAATTTAGTTTCAGTGTCAAAAATGTTTAGTTTTCATTAGTTTCTGTGTTATTTCCAGTTTTTTTATTATAATATGGAGGTGGGGTTATTTTTTACAAATCTCTATTTCCATTGAAAAGACAAAAATACAATAAATGTTAATGAACACAAAAAAAGTTAACATACAAAAATCATATGGAGTGTCGGTTCAGAATAGATATTACAATACAAACACATTGACTTAGTCATGTAGACACCCCAGTGTCAATAAACATAAACACCAATGTCTCTAAAGATATTAAAACTAAAACTCAAAGTATAGTTTTCATTTTTCTTTCAATTTAACTAAAATGTTTTTTTACACCTAGTTTTAGTTCTTAGTTTTAGTTAACTATAACTATATAACTAACAGGGCCCGGTAGCTCACCTGGTAGAGCGTGTGCCCAGTGTACAGCTGAATCCTTACCGCAGCAGCAAATAAAGGTTTAAAGAGGTAAAAAAAAAAAAAAAAGAATGCAAGGAAAAAAAAAATAAAATACATAAATTCTATTATATAAAGGGGATAAAAATAATGGAAATTGTCATGGATTAATCACATAAATCTTAGTGTTGTTGGAGATACATTAAATCAAACTACATTTCACCAACCACCACCTCCTTCCAAAAGAAGGAATCATTGTAGGTGTAGAATGTGTTGCATTGTATTGGAAGGTCAGTTACAGGACTCCACGTCTGTATATATTTGGGCTTTTGGAACCTTAGTGCTCATTAAGTCCTCATAATCCATATGTTGTAAGAGGGAGGATCTGGTTTCAACCCTCTAATTATGATACAGCAGATTTGAATGAATACAGAAGTGAACAGCTGTACGATGTCAGATTATGGCAACGTTTATGTTCAGTTTTGATCTATTTAATAATAACTTTATTTCTTACCTTACCTTTTAAAACACAGTTACAAAGTGCTTCACATATCGGATAAAAACACACATGTAAAATACAAGTATACAAACATACACACAACAGAGTATAAACAGGATAACCTATAAAAGTGCATTTTTAGCAATTCATTTAAAAGGAAATCATGGAATCAGCACATCTGATAGACCAGGAGCTACAACTGAGGAAGTACAGCCACTTCTGGATTTAAAATGTGTTACGTGGGGCAGTTAGAAGGTATTAGTTGTAAGATGGGAGGACGGGGAGGAGGAATAGGGGGTCAACAACTCTGTCATATAGGCGGAGGCCATCCTGTGCAAAGGCCTTGTATGTGACTATTAAAATTGTGTGTTTTACTGGAAGCCAGTAAAGAGAGGGACGTGAGATACTGACACCTAGTGTTAGTTCTACTGCAGATCCATCAGAGCCATTCAGAAGGAGGAGGGAGGGGGCATCACAAAAGTAGCATGAATGTGTGTGCATTAAATATCGCTTAACAGGGAAAGAGCATTAGCCTCATCAAATTTAAATAGGACTTGGGAAGCTACAGTCATTACATGTCTGTCAGGGGCCATTTTGGTGCAGACATCTGCAGCCGCTGTTCGTCTCACTGATGTGGAAAATCTGTCTGAGAAAATGTACAGAGACCATAAAATGCCACACAATGGAAATGTTTATTGATGCATGTGCAAAGTTTGGAGATATGCTTTTGAGGAATATACAAGAAGTGGGCAACAGCACAAAATAATAATAATAAAAAAAAATGTAAACAGTCCCTTTATCACCTTTAGTTATGTGGTGTCAGAATAATTTTTAATTGGCATGTAAATGATTTACAGTATGAGCAATAAGCTAAAATCACAAAATACACAAATTCTGCATTAAACAGTAAATCAATGGGGGAAATGCAAGGTCCCTTTTTCATGTTTTAGTTGCTTTAATTTGAGGATTAGAAAATGGAAATAAAGACACAGCCATGACTTTTTTTCAGTTTAAAAGGTGGAAAGTAACACACACACCTCAACGTAGACAAATGAAAACAGTCTACAAATACAAGCTGTGCCATCAGGAACTTCACATTTTCTGAATAACTTGAATAAGTGCTAATGCTGCAGACAACAGTGCTAGTCATTTTTAAGCATTAATTATTCAAATCAATGTCTTTTTTTTTTTGATTCACCATTATTCCAAACATGCATTAACAAACTGATTGCATATATTGTTCCGGTAACATTTTTGAACAGGCCGCAGCCATGAATACTGAATAAATTAACTCTGTACAAATAAACACCTATACACTGATCAACCCATTAGAGAATATATATATATATATAGATAGCGTTTCTGATTTTAATATACCTGCAGCAATCATTAAGACTCTACTCACAAACAATAAACAGCAGAATTTACAGCTTCACCGAGACAACAAATAATCATTTACATACAACAGGCTTTCATACATTATTGAACATTGAAGATTTTTCATTACACTGATGATCCACCTCAAACAAACACAAATTAAAATTTGGCTGCTTAAACGACTCTTCTGCAACACCAACTGTAACTGTTGCAGGTTTTTAAATTAGCTTTTTTAATTTCTTTTTTTGCACAATTAAGATCAAACAGCCAAACATCTGGGCGTTCAGAGCTGAGAGGGTTTGTCAAGGTATTTAACTCGCACACGGAGGGGTGTAATGGTGGAGCAGCAGGGGTGTCGAGTCGGCACTCTGGAGGCTGAAGGCTAACACAGCCCTCCCTCGTAATCGTCCTCCTCGTTGGCGGCGGCGGCGGCCGGCGCCCCACCGGCGCCTGCTTGTGGAGCGGCAGGGGCGGCCTTCTTCTTCTTTGCTCCTCCTCCGGGTACCCTCAGGGAAATGGCCAGCTTGGCGTACTGTGAAGAGCCGGGGATCAATGATATCTCATCAGATCTCAGATTTGAAATGTATTTTCAGCCCCTTACTGAGACTGAGGGTGTCCTACATGAACACGTTTTCTGCAGAAGTTTTGATTAATTCATGAGAGATTTCTGCCTCTCTGTGCTTGTGACAGTGGTTTGAAACAGGCGGGGCTCTGCTGGGGAAAGGGGATGTCATATTTTGGTGCGTCAATCACATCACCAGTGGAGTTAAGTAATAAAGTAAGTGAGTGCACTTTCTGTATAATATGTATAGTATAATATATGTAAAAAGCGCCTTTCAAAACCAGAGTTACAAAAGGCTGTTCAATGCAAACATTAGAAAAGTTAAATGAGTTAAAATGTGATAACAGTTTCAAGGTTGTTTGTTTATGTTAACAAGTTTTTAACATTAATATATAATAATTAAAGCCCTGTTCTACAGCAGCAAATACTCAGTTTGTTTGGTAAATTCCTCCTTGAATTTAAATCTCATCCAGAGCAACAACCTCGTACTTTAAAGTAGATCTGAGAGTTTTTTCCCCTAATAAGAGCAGTTTGTCTTTCTACTAATAATAAATAAACTCACTAATCTGAAAGATAGAAACATGTCAACACCAAACAAATAAATACAAATCAAAGCCTTCAGGGGAGCAAAACCCGGTTAAAGCTCATTAAATGTCAAGTACAGGTAGGATGCTATTCTCTCTATTAAATATTTCATTTCCTACCTCCCCGTCTGAAGTAAACCTTCAGGATCTCTTGTTGTGCTCTCTAAAATAATACACGCACAAGATGAACTAATAAAATGTTGTTACTGGCATTGTTTTGATCGTATTTGCACAAAAGAACAAAGTATTAATTATAAAAAGGAAAATAACAGAACCAGCTTGCTCAAAGACGTCCAATTCAGGAGATTAAAAAACAAACAAATATGGCTTTAAATATAATACTGCAGGTTTTTAATCAAACTGAAGCTAAAACACTGAGATACTGATGGCTAAATAATTAGTATATATACGTATGAACCACGTGTGTTTGTAATTGTCAATCAGCAGTACTCACATCGTTGTCCATGTACTTCAGTAAAGGTGAGTTGCACACACGGTAGACCTGGTCCTCGTCCTGCTCGTCGTAGCCCTGCAGTAGCGTCTCCATGGCGAGGCAATCTTCGCTTCCACTGTAGCCGGGCAGACTGACGGAGACCAAGCAAACACTTGTTCATGTAACGATGCTCAGTTTAAGCGTTCGAACACGAGGGAGTGACACTGTGATTAAAAACATACCTGTAACTTTCTCTGACACATTTATCAGCCGCTACGTAGTCACCTCTGTGAAGATGAAT